ATAACTAAAATGAATCTATATTAAATTAATTCTCTTATCTCCTTCTGGATAACCTAAGACTTTAGAAAACTTTAAACTCCATTTACCTTCTTTCAACTTTTGTGTGATTACTGTCATATATTTTAATTCAATACATCTTTTAAACCCATAGACATTATGATTATGGTTTGAAACAGTCCTGAATGTGCATGGATTCATGCACATTTTCTATTTTACTGGTTCTTCATCTTTTTCCGCATCACTATACTTTCATCTTAGATTGGTTTTCTTCTGCTTGGAGAACTCCCCGTGGCATTCCTTTTAGTGTGAGTATGCTGAGGATAATTATGCCAGGTTTTGTTTGAAAACATTTCACTTTTGCCTTTGTTTTTAAAGGATATTTCTTTAGAATATAGACTGCAACTTGTAGGCATTGTCTTTCATCATTTGATGATACATGCCATTGTTTGTAGCTTCCGTTGTTTCTCTTCAAAGTCAATTGTCAGTCTTATTTTTACTTCTTTGAAATTAATTCATGTTTGTTAGCTTCTTACAGTATGCTTAAATCATTGATTTTAAACCTTTCTTCTGTTCTAGTATAAACAATGTAAAGCAATGCATTTGCCTCTGGGCACCGCTTTAGCTGAATCCTACAAATTCTAATATGTTGTGTTTTCATTCCGTTCAAGTTGTTCTTAATTTTCTTTGTAGTCTGGGTGACAGAGTGAGACTCTGTCTCAAAAATACATTGTTTTAATTTTATTTGTGATTTCTTTTTTTGACCTATGGGTTATTTAGAAGTGTGTTATTTAATTCTCAAATATTTTGTGGATATTCTAGAGTATCTTTCAGTTATTAATTTCTAATTCTACTTTAATTGTCTTGTGGTCAGCTAACATGGTTTTTATTATTTCAATCTCCTTAGAACTTTATCAAGATTGTTTTAAAGCCCAGGATATAGTCTAACTTAGGAAATGTTTCCTGTGCCCTTTCAAATCATCTATTGCTGTTTGGTGAAGTGTTCTATGATGTGAAATAGGTTAAGTTGTTTAATAGTGTATCCAAGTCACATACTTTTACTTTTGTGTACTTATTCTTTCAATTTCCAAGAGAAAAGAGTTAATACCCCTTAGCTATAATTTTTGAATTGCCTATTTTTCTTTTCAGTTTGGTTCATTTTTGCTTCATGTATTTTGGAGCTCTGTAATTAATTAATATTTAATTAAGCATGTCTATATTTTGTTTCTTTAATTAAGTGCACACATATTTAAAATTGTTTCATTTTCTTAATAGGTTTACCTTTTATTATAGAATGTCCCTCTTTATCTTTGTTAATATTCCTGGTCCCCAAGTTACTTTGATACAGTCACATGATCTTTCTTACTGATTTGAGTTATCACACTCTAGTTTTTTTAAATTTTTACTTTAATTTCTCTTTATATTTAAAACGAATTTATTATCGACAATATATAGCAAGTTCTTGCTTTTTTAAAATCCAGTCTGACAATATCGTTTTAGTTGCAATGCTTCAACTGTATGTATTTAGTGAAAATGTTGACAGTAATTGTTTCGATCCATGAACATGAGATATCTTTTGATTTCTTTGTGTCTTCTTCAATTTCTTTTATTAATGTTTTATGATTTTCAATGTATAGGTCTTTCACCTCCTTGGTTAAATTTATTCCTAGGTGGGTTTTTTTTGAAGTTATTATAAATGAGATTTTTTTCATTCTTTTTCAGATAGTTTGTTGTTAGTGTATAGAAATGCTCCTAATTTTCCTATATTAATTTTGTATACTGCAACTTTATGGATTTATTATAATAGTTTTTTTGGTGGAGTTCTTGAGCACATTTACGATAGCTATTTCAAAATTCTCGTCTGCTAATTCCATCATATTGGTCATTTCTGGGTCTGCTTTTATTGACGAATTTTTCTCTTGATTATCAGATTTGTCATGCTGTTTTACATATCTTGTAATTGTTTACCAGCTGCCAGACTTTGAATGTTACATTGTAGCATGTCTATATTTTCTTTAATTAAGGAATTAAATAGGCAATAAAGAATATTTGGCAGGCAGTAGGGTAATTTGCAGATGACTTGTTTTCCTTTCAAGGCTTGCTTTTACGCTTTGTTCAGGCGAATCTATAATAACCTTTACTCTAGGGCTAATTCATTCCCTGTAATTTTTCTGTGGTCTCTATCAATGCCTCAAATTTTTGTTCTACCCTGGCTAGGAAGAACTTGAACATCTCCCAGTCCTGTAAAAGCTTTCAAGATTGTTTAGCCTACAACTTCCCAGCAACTATTTGCCTAACCTCATAGAGTTTCTCTCTATGTATCTATAGTTTACTATAAGCAATAGACTCGAGGGGATTTCTATGCTTAGGTGTGAATTTCTTCTTTAAATAGCTCCCTCTTCTCCAATACTCTGCCCCACATATTCCAACCGTTTCAGCCTGCCCAAACTCTCATCTGTCTTTTCAACTCAATGAATCTGTTATGCTTTATTTAGTTTCTTCTTACCTGTACTGTGATCTGGAAAGACCCTCTAAGCAGAAAGCTACTGTGATTGTAGGATTTTCCTCATTTGCTTCTGTTCTTGCCTTTATCACAGTTCTGCACTGCACTGCATAGTTGTCCAATGCCTGAAAATAGATGCTTCATGTATTTTGTCTTAATTTTCAGTGCTTTGTGTTGGGAGATGAATTCCAGAATCAGTCATTCTAACACAGCCAGAATGGAACAATGCTGCAAAGTCTTTAAGATTTTACAAATGAAAAGTATACTAGGCCAGGTGCGGTGGCTAACACTTATAATCCCAGCACTTTGGGAGGCCAAGGCAAGTGGATTACTGAAATCAGGAGTTCAAAACCAGCCTGGCCAACATGGCGAAACCCCATCTCTACTAAAAATACAAAAATTAGCTGGGCATGTTGGTGGGCCCCTGTAATCCCAGCTGCTCAGGAGGCTGAGGCATGAGAATCACTTGAACCTGGGAGGAAGAGGTTGCAGTGAGCCCAGATCACGCCACTACACTCCAGCCTGGGTGACAGAGCAAGACTCCGTCTCAAAAAAAGAAAAACAAAAAAGTACTAGAATGTTTGGTTCTGTGATGGAGAGGGTAACAAGAAAAAGACTCAGTGGCAACTATGTAACTTCTTTCTTGCCAGAAGTTTAAGAAATGCATTATCTTTGGAAGCATTTTCTCCTCACTTTCAAAAAGAAATTTAAATGGAAATATTTGTTTTTTGAAAGTTAGAAGAAGTTTCAACTTTAGGTTCATATTTCTTCCATAAAAAAAGGATAACTAGGCAGTTTTCTAATGTTGCAGTATTGTTACGTTAGATCAGTGATGATGATCAAGTGGTTCCTGCTGCTCTTGCTGCTGCCAACAATAAGAACGTTTACTTTGGCACTGCTAATATACCAGGCATTGTGCTAGGCACTTTACACTGATTATCTTCACCCTTCCACAACAATTCTGCAAGTTAGAAATAATGATCCTGAGAAACTCAAAGAGGTAAAATTATTTCCTCAAGGTCATACGCTAAGAAGTGAACACTCAGTGACTAAATTACTCAGTGGTCATTTAGTGGCTAGAATTGGGAAACAATCTCAGCTCATCAATAGCAATGCTTCCTCCCGTTATTATACTGCTCTCTGGTTCTATCTTTACCTTAGCTTTCCATCTGGCAAATTAAACTAGAAAACAGCAAACTCCCTCCCTAGAGAGATTATATTATTATATAGATGTTTTGCATTATTTTGCTTTGAATAACAACATATGTAAATGTGCTCCTGGAGGCTAAAATATCCTTATTTTGTCAAACTTGGCCTCTCTCACTAGGGTGAATTGTTGAAAATTTTAGGGAGGAAAAGACAGGCTGGAGAGAATGTTAGTTGACTTGGAGGTGCTTCTCCTTTCCTCCGACCCAACGCCTATTTCTATTCAGACATAAGCAGCCACAGCAAAGTAAAGATTAGTCAATTTCCTATCGTGGAGTCCTAGCTGGTCCTGATATTCAGTGATCAGAGTAAGTTAATCTAGCTATTACTCACCAACTCTGCATCATGTTGATGTGTAGGGGCAGATGTTCTTGCTGAGAAGAATAAAAGCCTCCTGTGGCACCTGGAACACCTTATCACACATGGTCTCCAGCCGCATCACAGAGTGATTCTAGTTAACCTGGGCACTTTGCTGCCTCTAACCATTTACCTCTTGCTCAGAGGTTGGCATATCTCCTCGACTTCAGCTCTCCCTTGGGCCCTGTATTGTTGAGCCATCCCTATCTGAAACTGCCTTTCCTGGCATTTGAATCACCACTTCGATGATGTGATAATATCTGCAAGTTGGGAAAATAAAAATGGCATTTGTTTGGCCATAATTAATGAAATATTTATGTTGCATGAGACTATGTGATAAAACCTTAGGCTTAGAGTCCTTTTGCTTCTGATTACATTTGGGATTTTTTTTTTTCTATGACCAGACATTCTGACGCCAGCTCTTTTACACTGAGCAGATGTCATGTAGTAAAAATGGGTGCCAGATGCTGTGAGCCGCAGAAGGGCGGTTTGTTTAAGAGCTGGCTCCAACTTTTTTGCATTCAATTACTCTGCAGAACGAACCTTACACAAGCATTTAGGTAACTCAACTAACTTCAGACATGCATTTTAATAATAGATTTTATCTCTGAATGCATTCTGAGCAACACACCATATAAATGGTGTTTAAGGAATTAATTGATTTCTGCATAATACCTTGGCTTTTTTTTTTTTTTTTTTTTAAATGTGAAAAGAGAGCTGCAAAGCTCTTGGCAGGGACCCAGAAATGTAATTAACATGGAGGGCCAAATTTTCAGTTGCCCTTAGGTACTGTTGCCTCATGCTCACGGCAGGTGCAGTGAGGGGAGGGCAGGGAGGAAGGGAATGAGAGTAAGGGGGGAGGAGGAAGCAGCAGCTTTGGTTCATAAAGCAGGAAATGAAGCTAGCAGTTCATTGAGTTTTTCTGTTCCCATTTCAGACTCCAAGACCTTTCCCCTCAGAGCACAGGTAACAGAGGCTTCCTCTTCTGCCTCTTCAACCTCCTCCTCCTCTGCAGATGAAGAATTTGATCCCCAGCTTTCCTTGCAGTCAAAGGTAACAATACTTGACCAGCCAAAGAGGGCCTTGGCTGGTGGGGACTGCTTACCATCCAGATTTCAGAACCAATGTGGGCTCCAGCTGCAGTGGTTTCGTTAAGAGGATCATGTTTCATTGCATCTGACAGGGTGCTCTCTTTACCTTGAACACCCAAAGAATTATCTCCTTTAAAATAAAAGCTTGTAGAAGTTTGCCTTTCTCAGACCCAAATTGGAGGAAAAAAAAAAAAAAAAAAAGACATATTTACTTGAAACCATTTGGTGACGGCAGCTCTTAAAGTGGGTTTAATATGTGGTCCAACAAGCAAACCATCGAAAACATTACAACAAGCAGATGCATATTTCCCTGGGAGAAGCACAGCTTCATTTAAGAAGCACTAGAGGCAGATTGCATGGAAAATGTTATGTTTATTCTAATCAGAAATATGAAATGAACCATGCAGTTTCATCTAGACATGGATACTCCAAGGATCCCTGCTGTGGAAGGGACAAGCCCCATGCCAGCTGGGGAGACGATTGACTTCTTTTCTCAATGAACATTAATGTTTTTGGAGAACTCTTTAAACAACTCTCATATCTGTAGATTAAAAAACACAAACATTGTATATGTCTATAAATGTGTCTGTCTCTCACATACACAGAGACAGACGTCCCATAACCAAAGCCCACCATTATTTTCTTTATCCACTGAAGCTGGAGCATTTTCACTGAGACAGTAGAGTACTTGGTGGGGCAGGTGGGGGCAGGGGTTACTGAGTGGTTGGACCCAAAATGCTTCCCGGGTAGAAAGAGAAGCAGTTCACCGCTCTGGTAGTGCTTATTTTTTGGAGTAGTGAGGATCTGGGGAGGGAGGAGGAGAACCAAATTTATTTACTTACCCTCAACTTTTCCATATCTGGCATTAGGAGCTTTGGCATCATCTCAAGTCACTCTGGGGTTCCAACTCCCCATGGCCCAGTTTGAAGCAAGGCAGGAGGGATCTGGGATGTGTAGGGGGGAAGGGGAGGAGAGAGGAAGAGAGAGGGAGGGAGAAGACAGACAGAGAGTTGAGAGAGAAAGATATGTGAATTTCTCATTTCTAACAATGGTGTCCCTAATTAATTCAGTATTCAACACAAATGAATTATGTGTGTGTTGTGTTGATTTCTGTGGTTTTCTTACTGCCCCTCTCATCCCCTTGAATGACCCTGAGTTAATTCTATATTCCAATTAGGCAGAGATCCCAGCCCCAGCCATCTTGACACTCAAGGAGAATAAAAGAATAAAATGGCCCAAACATATTGAAATAGCAAGACTGTGGTATCTAGGACCAATCTCAAAATAGCTCCTTGTCGTCCTGCTGGCCCAGAGCCCACCATCACGTCAGCTTGCCAGGTGGTAAAGCATGCCTGCTTCACCTGGCTTCTGACCTGGCCCACTCTTACACGAAGGGAAGCTGGCGAGATTTCTTTTTTCCAACCTCTCGAGGGCTCACACTGAAGGAATGAGAGGAGATTTTCATCCTCTGGTTTCTTTGTCTCTTCTGTCCCATACAGGTGTGTCCCCAGTCAGGTGGCACAGAGCCCATGACAGCTCAAATGAACCTTTGCACAGGAAACTGGAGGTAGAATGTGTCCTCTCAGCCTCTGCCCTTTGCTTGACCCTTGTTCCCCACTGCCTTTCCTCCCACACCACCATCCAGATCTAAGAGACTAAGGCAGGAAAAGACACAGCAGCTTGTCTTTGATTCTGCCAGGTTTCTGCTTCTTTTCTTCCATCGCCCTTCGCGTCTTTCCCTCTCTTCGTCATCACCATCAGTGAGGATATAAGAACCATGCCTTGTATATGTAAGACTGTGTGAGTGTTTATTAATGAAGCATCCTTCTTTTCTGTATCAGCAACTTTTTAATAAAAGGCAATAAATGACTTTCTTTCCTCTTCTAAGTTCTGTTTTGCTGACTCTTGATAAAACAGTCAGAGTTTGATAGCTTTGCTGCTCGGAAGCACTAACACCACATGATGCTGTTGAGGCAATTCCCCCCACCTTTCGCCTGGGAACTGCATTCAGTGGTCTTTATTTGGGGGGGGGGCATTAGCATTTCTTTTCTATAGTCCCACTTTAGAGTAGGTCCTTGTTGTGTCTAAATGGTATGTGGCACAAGGAAAGGCAGTATAGACTTAATGAAATGTGGATACTAGATTCAGGCTACCTGTGCCTAACTCCTGGCTCTGCCTATTAATAATTGCATCATCTTGTATAAGTTAATTTCCTCTCTGAGTTTTTTTTCCTTATCTGTAAAGTAAGTGCAATTTGAGGAATAAATGGGATGATGTGTGTGAAATAATTAGTACAGTGTCTGGCATATAGCATTTAGTAAATGTGAGGATTTATTACATAGGTTAGTATAATGGAAGCTCAAGGGGCACTTGGTAATAAATGAACTGACTCCATATAGACTAAGTTAGACAATCTCTGGATGACAGTTACCATTAATCCCCACCACCTCTCCTCTAGAGCCTTTCCAGAAAGATCCTAGCTGCCCCATGAAGAATCCCCCATGCAAAAGGTCTGGAATCCCCATTCAGAGTGATTGGCATTCAATCTGATAGTCATCTGCTGTAAACAAGGATGATATGATACGGAATAATTTGAGTTCTGAGAGTAAAATTTTCTTCCAAGGATGAAGAAGATCTTTAGGATTTCAGGTCCTAAGGAGAATTCCAGAAAAATAGCCTGTAGGCACCAAGCTAGCTGCAACAATTTTTAAATTTCATAGTTGTTTCTTCCAGCATTAAAAAGAAATGTCTAGCATGCTCTAATCCTTATCCTAGTATACGGAAAGTTGACGTGTATGCTCAGAGAAGGCACACGGAGTAAAAATAGCGCAATTTGAACATTTATTTTGTAGATACAGAATGTCTGTGTGTGTATGTATAATATATACTCCTACACACAAAAATCATAATAGATTTTAGTAAAAAGTGATAATCATGCTAATTTAAAATATAATAATATAGGTGTGCTAATAATAATAAAAATCGTGCTCTTAGCATTTACTGAGCGTTCATCCCATGTCTCTTTCAGGTATTCTCCAAAAGGCTTAGCCTTGTTATTTCATTTAGTCCTTAGTATATCCCTACAAAGGCACTAAATTCTTCTCATTACTCTAAAGAGGGCACTGAAGTTCAGAATGTTGTGTGACATTCTGAAGCTCACACATCTCAGTTGGGATTGGATGCCAGCTTTGCCTGTCTTGTGGTCCCAGTGCTCAACCATTAGTCTCTGCTATTTCTCCCGTCAGAAGTGTCTCCTGAACTTTCCAGTATGTGGAATTAGCCACACCATCACTTTTCTTTTCTCTTTTGTCTAAAACCTGGAAGTGACACTATCAAGATCTAGACTTCTACTTTATATGCATCAATTTTTTAAAAAAAGTTTTAACAAGCACAGGTACACGCACAACCTGGTGACAGTAATGCTATAATTGTATAAACAAAGTGAGGTAGGGAAGAGAAGCAATATCATGCTTCCCTCAAGCCAAAAAACACTTTCATTGGAATGATACATTTCTCCATTTCCAGGTTTAATTAGCCACTGTAGACTCAACCTAAGCACTATTTAAACTTGTTAACTGGTTTTCATGTAGTGAAAGAGAGCATGTGTGTGTACATCTGTCTGCTTGCCTGCCTGTCTCTCTCTCCCAAGCCCCTCATCCCTAGGCCATATTGTAGCACCCCTGTAAAGTATAATTCTTGTATCATTCCTTCTCTCAGCTGAACCCAGACAGTATTCTATTATAGCAATTCCCAGCTACAGACCTACACATAGACTCCCTCCCAATACACACATAGCAGCTTCCCAGTCCAGAACCTACTAGCAACATGTGGCTACTTAAATTTACATTTAAGTTCATTAAAATTGAATAAAATTTAAAATTCAATTTCTAATCCACACTCACTTCAAGTGTCCACTAGCCACATGGGGCTAGTGGTTTCTGTATTTTAGACAGCACCGCTATAGGTTATTTCTATCATTGCATAGAGTTCTACCAGATGTCATTATTTTAGAAGGTAAGCAGTGGCTAGGAATCATTAGTTGGAGAGGGCAGAAGCCTATAATGATACATTGTAAATTTCAACCCCATTTTTCTCTGACATAATTTTTTTCTCTATTGGTTTTCATAGGAGAAGAAGACACTTAGAAGAAGAAAGAAGCTAGAAAAAGCAATGAAGCAGATGGTTAAGCAAGAAGAATTGAAAAGGCTCTATAAGGCTCAGGTCAGTAAATAAACTGGAGATGAGTGAGTGGGCCTGGGTCCAGGATTCTGGGACTCTGGATGGGAAAGAGGTTTGAGAGTCTGCATTGTATTAGGGAAAGCAGGCTGGAGAAAGGTCAGTCTTGTTCTCTGAGGGACCAGATTTGTGGCTGTTTTAAAGAGGCTCTGGCTTAGTCTCAGTAAGACTCTGGGTCCTGGAGAGCCCCCATGTTAATCCAGCCTATTCTCAGCCACCCCTCCATCTGCAGACATGTGAGGCTGGAACAAGAGCCAATGCATGGCCTTGGGAGTCATCCCTGACGGCCACATAGCAGTGACCTTAGTTTTGTCCTCTGTGAGGACACAAACCTTCCACCAACTCCCTGACAGTGTCTTTACTAAACTGGCAGCTATTAAGGGCGGTCTCCATTTCAAGATTAGTTGAAATCATAAGTATCTAGCATTCCAGTACAGATTTCCTGGCCTGATTGCTGACTTTGAACACTTCTGCCCAAGTTGCTCAGCCACAACTCCATCACAGACAGGCAAAATGAAGCAGAAAGTCAAAGCATCCTCCATCTCTCTGAGGAACCCAAGCCTAGTCTTGAACAAGGGTTAGATTTTAGGATATACAGACTTAGAATGACCACTCATGTTAATCCAGTATACCCTCACATCCCTTTCTCCACTTAATCCCTTTATCTGGCTAATAATGCTACACACTATTTCTGACCAGAGTGATATCATTCAATCCACCCTCCTTTGCCCTTCCCCGTGGCTGGCTTGGGAGCCACCTCTTTCACCTAGCGAATGGGGAAAAGTCACTTCTGTCCACTTGCAACCTATAAAACAGGTTTCCTTGAAACACTGCAACTTTTCCTTCCAAGAACAAGACAAGTCTTATGATATTGATTGGCAAACTAGGCAATGCCTCTTCCTTGTATTTTCATCACAGAAAGTTATGATAAGAGAGGAATTACAATGGCCTTTTGAGTCCTGCTGGCACCCATAGCAGCCATTTTGAATCTCTGAGACTTTCATCCTTAGTTGTTTTTTGTTTTATTTTTTGAGACAGAGTCTTGCTCTGTTGCCCAGGCTGGAGTGCAGTGGTGTGATCTCAGCTCACTGCAACCTCTGCCTCCTGGGTTCAAGTGATTCTCTCACCTCATACTCCCAAGTAGCTGGGATTACAGATGCCTACCACAGTGCCCAGCTAATTTTTGTATTTTTAGTAGAGACGGTTTTTCACCATGTTGGCCAGGCTGGTCTCAAACCCCTGAGCTCAAGTGATCCTCCCACCTCAGCTTCCCAAAATGCTGAGATTACTGATGTGAGCCACCACATCCAGCCTCATGCTTAGTTTCTAAAGAATGACCACTGTATTCATCTGCTTGGGCTGCCATAACAAAGTACCATGGACCGGGTGGCTTAAACAATAGAAACTCATTTTCCTCACGTTCTGGAGCCGAGAAGTCCAAGATCAAGGTGCTGGCAGGTTTGACACCTGGTAAGGCCTCTCTTCCTGGCTTGTAGACAGCTGCTTTCTTCACATGTCCTCACATGGTCTTTCTGTGAGTTCACATGAGCAGAGAAAATCTCTGGTGTCTTTTCCTCTTGTAAGGACATCAGCTGCCTTGGATTAGGGCCCCAGTCCTATGACTCCATTTCACCTTGATTATCTCCTTAAAGGCCTTATCTCCAAATATAGTCACACTGGGGGTGTGACAAACATATGTCTTTGGGGTGGGACACAATTTAGTCTCTAAGAACCAGATAGCTGTAACTGCACAATGATCATTAATAAAACCATTTAGGTGCTTCCTTTCTTTAGCAATTCTACAGCATGCCAGCAAGAGATGGATTTATAAAGATGTAATTGTCTTTAAGGGAGAGACAGGAAGAGGGCATGAAATTACAAATTGTTTTAAGTAGACTTTCCATCTATTTCAGATATTATGTTGGGACTTAAGCACTCATAGCTGGGACAAGAAGAGCCAGGTGGTTGCACAGGCCCCACCCCTCCCTGCTTGGGTCTCTTTCCAGGGTTGGAGGGGTCTCGGCTGCTGTACTTGTGATTCCAGGGGAGATTTAGAAAGATGTGGGGTTAAGGAAGAAGGGAGTGAGACAGAGTAAAGTAAAACAGAGAAGGAACACAGGCATTCTGCCTGCCCAAACAACTGACAGTTCCTTGAATATACCTGTTCTGCCAGGTGCAAAGTCTGTTCTGCCAAGGGATATGCCTTTTGACAGCATGGTATTTGAAAGCAGAGAAAATGGATGGGGATGAACAAAATTTATATAGAAATGGCTTTTCCCTACTTTCCTTTGTAATATACACAGGAGATTAATAGTAAGGAAAATAAATATGTAAACGCAAACACAGTCATGACCCCAGACCTTAACAGGTGTCTATAATGAACCTAAGGAGAGGATGATGTCATCCCTAACAAGTTAAACATCTTGTGTCTCACCTTAACAACCTGCTAGTAACAAAGCCACAGTACACTTCCACAATGAAAGAACGCTGGGCATCTGCCCATGGTGCAATGAAAGAACAGGTACAATTTGTAGCTAAGGACAGGAGCAGGACAATCTAAAACAGGAGCACAAAACCCCGAGAGCTGGCCCAGTTCTCTTTCTCCAGACTGACTCCTTGGGAGGTATAGGCTGGTTCTTCTTGGGGAAAATAGATTATGCAAGTACCATGTTTGCCCCCGGACCCCCTGCCCTACTCTGAACAGTGGCTGCAGCTCCATTCATTATGCCATGGCCGTAGTCGGGCTGTTGGCTCCAAGGAGGCCAGGAGCCATGATGACTGCTCACCTCACCCAACAACCTCTATCTTGGAGGACATCTGTGATTGGCCTTGTCTAAGGAGACTGTTTTAATGTCTACTTAGAGGCCAGTTGGACATACACACAGATTCCTTGCTTTATGTTGCATGCTAAGGAAGGGAAACATCAGGGTATAGTTGTCTGGGATTCAGAGGTCCTTGCCTAGTTACTCAAGGCAGGACCATCACAAGTGAAAGGGACTCTTTCTGTTGGAAAGTAATTGACAGAATCGGCCCCTCTTGGGACTCTATGTGGAAAGTCCTTGTGTGACATCTGATCCTGGTGTTGCAGGCCATCCAGAGGCAGCTGGAGGAGGTGGAGGAGCTGCAGAGGGCTTCTGAGATCCAGGGTGTGAGGCTGGAGAAGGCGTTGCGAGGAGAAGCAGGTACGGCATCCCAGAAGATCCAGAGCAGTGGGCGTGGTCTGAGAATAGTACTAGTCTAACCATCTGAGGAAAACAGACCTTGTCACCTGCTGGGGAGCTGTTAGCATGGACATATGGTGCTAAATCCACAACTGCTGCACACTTTAAACATCAAACTATTGCTTCTCGGCCTTTTGGCCAAGATCAAATGTAAAAATCAAATTAGTGGCCCAATTTGAAATTCCCAGGAGCTTTGGTCAGCCCGTGGACCTTGTAACTGTGCTTCTGTTGAGCCCTACCTCTCCACTGGCTAACACGAATGTTCTTTGTAATTCAGGGATTAAAATAAATTCAGGAGAAATATATGGGTATTGGAGCAGTGTTGGTAGTAATTCAAAACCCAGAGTGAGTCAATGTCCTGGTTTTTCCTTTGCTACCTGTATGACCTTGGGCCAGTCACGTTATAAACCTTTATACTTTTTCATTTTCTCATCTAAAATGGGGATAATAGTGGTTTTCTCCTTTATAGAACTGATATAAGGATTAAAGAAGAAATTATATATGATACTTAAGTTAACACATTGCCTGGCCCAAGGTAAAGCAATAAGTGGTAACTATTCCAGTAATAGCTTCAGATTCTTAGATTCAAACAGAACTCATCTGGTGAAGACCTACTATACATTAGACATTAAAACACTGGGTCTGTAACAATGAGTATGAAGCAGTTCCTACCTTGAGAAGTTTATAGTCCATTGAGAGACACACATAGGCAAAGAGGTAAGCTACAATACAGTATGACGAATGCTATGATAGGAACAAGAATTAGGTGCAATGTGAACAGAAGCAAGAAGTGCCTAAGTGATCTTGGGGCAAGGGGAGCCAGCGGGCAAGGCTTCTGGGAAGGGGTGAGCTATACGATGAGAACCTGAGAAGGAACAAGAGTTAACCAGTGAAGAGGAGATTGTTCTGGCAGAGGGAACAGCGCCTGCAAAGGTCAAATGTGAAAAGACATGAAATATATTCACAAATGAGCCAGTGAATGGGTTTTCAGGTAAGGAATGGCTTAAATCTACATTTTCAGAAATCTTCCAGTAAGTGTGTGGCTCATGAATTGGGGGCCCCTAAGAGTTTGTTGGGGGTATTGTCTCTTTAATTTTATAATGTGATGTCTTCAGCCTTCAGCATTTGGGATATAAAAGGTGAAAAACCAAGCACTGAAATAATGTGCAATAATATAAATAACAGGTTACTTGTTACTTAACAAGTGAAACATTAGGATTTCAATTCTTTAAAAGTCCAGTTATGTCACAGCGATGACACTAGCAGGTGCAGACCCACATTTCCTGAGGCCTGGAGTTCGTGCAAAGTCACGTGTGTAAAATTGTGAGGGCTGCTTCCAGAACCTTGCAAAGACCCATCCAAGTGAGGGATCCTGGGGTTTCGGTTTCATTAACTGCATGGTTAATTTAGGACTAGATTTCAGGGAAATGCTAGAGTCAGACTTTACCTCTTCTGTGCCTCAGTTTTCTTGTTGGTAAATTGGGAGTGATAATAATAGTTACTTGTATTTGTGGTGAGGATTAGCTAAAATAATTTATGTAATATTCATAGACCAATGTCTGGCCTGGAGCAGATGATTAACCAATACCTGTTTGCTTTTTCACTAAAATGCACTGGATTTCCTTGCAAAGATGACCCAAATTTGCTCATTAGAAGTAGGCTTATTACAGGCTGGGCACGGTGGTTGATGCCTGTAATTCCAGCACTTTGGGAGGCCGAGACGGGCGGATCACGAGGTCAGGAGATCGAGACCATCCTGGCTAACATGGTGAAACCCCGTCTCTACTAAAAATACAAAAAATTAGCTGGGCATGGTGGCGGGCGCCTGTAGTCCCAGCTACTCAGGAGGCTGAGGCAGGAGAATGGCGTGAACCCGGGAGGCAGAGCTTGCAGTGAGCTGAGATCACACCAGTGCACTCCAGCCCAGGCAACAGAGCGAGACTCCGTCTCCGGAAAAAAAAAAAAAAAAAGAAGAAGTAGGCTTATTACAAATATAAAGAGTTTCTTGCTGCCTGGACTGAGAGTCACTGTCCATCTCTACAGCTGCTGTGGGGCTTTCAGTAGAATGAACTGCCCTTGTTTGGTGGTTGGTCATATTCCCAGTCCAGAAGGCTCTGGTTCTTGTCTTTGAGAATCTGCTGATCTCAGTGAGAGTATTAGAAAGGAAAAGGAAAAACCAGAAAAGCCAGAGTATGCTTCAGTTTGCCGCCAGCAACATACGCCAAGAAGTGGCATGGTGGAAAGTGGGGAGCTGTGGGTGCCAAGAAGTCCTGTGTTCAAATTCTGTTCCACTCCACTTAGGCTGAATAGTCCTGGGAAAATCACTTAACCTCTCTGGCCCTAGATTTCTTATCTGAAAATGAAGATACTAATCCCCATATTACCAGGTCATTTTGAGAATTAGGGGTGTTGATAGGCAAAGTCTCTGCCAGAGTATTGACTACGTTGTAGGCATTCAGTAAACACTACTTGCATCATTTTACAAAATATTACTAAGTATCCACACACATCTTCTTTTAAAGAATTTGTCTAATTTTTACTGCTTGAAATTTAAATGAGAGAAACCAAAATTGTAAAGCATCTTCTGAAAATCTTCCTCATCCCCAAATATGAAAAAAAAAAAAAAGAAAAGAAAAGAAAAGAAAAGAAAAGAAAAGAGGGTGCTATTTTGAGTTATAGCAAAAGAAATCTGGCCAGCTTGTGATGTTTCAGAGGTGTGCCAAGCCAGCCAGAAGATGGATTCCATTCATTCCCTTTATATCCTTGGTAATTTAATTCCCCTGTTAAGTTTATGGGCCTTTTTCCCTTGATTGTCCTTGTGTGGGTGATAGATGCAGATCAACAAGGGGCTGGAGACTAAAGGAGTCAAGTCACGGAGAGTGGCCTCAAAACCAAATAGAAGTTTTGCAAACCAGGCACCAAAATTAATATACTCTAACTTGTAATAACATTTGTGCAATAATAATATTCCTTGGTGGTTTAGTATTCTATTCAGTCCCTCTAAGAGATTGCCCTGTTGCTTAATGAATGACCAATGCTTATTAGGTTAAGTTGTATTTGAGCTGGCCTGTGCTGCTCCGGTTCAAGTGATTTAATGGGAATTATTTAATAGGTATTATTAGGATAATTAGAAAATGATCACAGTTAGGCAATAATATTGAGCTATAAAGGTTGTGAATAACCAAATTTAGAGACAGACCTGAAAACATGAGTAGTCTGCGACAGTTACGCAAGGCTCCTCTGATAATTATGTAGGCCTCCTGAAAGGGGCTTTTGTTCTGGGAGTTATTCATTAGGCGGGCATTGAATTAGAGGAACATGTGGGGGTGCGGGATGGAGGGCAATGATGGCTGATGAGCAAAATGAGGCTTTGATGAGCTCCTCATTGTCGTGACAACAATTCCTGCTTTCTTTTTTCCCAGCAGTCAGAAATAAGCTCTCCCGCCCCCGGGAAGGGTTTTTCCCTATTTTGGCAAGGAAAGGGAAACAAAAGAAAACAAAAATCTAACAATCCACCCCAGATGACAAAATCATTATGTTTTGCAGGACGTGGTGGAGTGAGTGTGTGTGTGTGTGTGTGTGTGTGTGTGTGTGTGTGTCTGTGAGATGTCTTTGACAGAGGGAAGAAAGTCCCCTCTTGGTCCTAGCTGGCCAGGTGAAGGACCAGGATATGCAGTAACCTGATTCCTGGGGGCCCTACCATCTTCTGGAAAGAGGCCAACCCCAGCTCTGCAGCCACTTAGACGCTTGTTGGTTGAGGCACTGTTTGTTACCTGCTGGCTTGTTGCTTGTCAATATGATGATCAGTGTTACCTACTAGGGCCATGGAATACCACAATCTAGCAAGAGACCACCATTCAGATTTAAGTGGTCTGGATAACACAATCTGGGCTTTCCTTCAATACCTGGAATCTGATGAAAACTGAGTAACTTCAAAGGAGAAAGGATTTCTCCTCAAGGGAGGCGAATAAGAATAATTATTTCCTTATAACTTTACCAGCTTTGGGGAAGATTTACCAGCTAGTTGTCTGCATGGAACTTCTCGCCTTTTTTTGGAGCCAGATGGTTTCTACCACCTGGAGATTGAGGGGTTTACCAAGGAAAATTAGGATGTGCAAGGTGCCAGCAGGTGGCAGCAGGAGCACACATTTTGTGAGAAATGCCAGCAAAAGCCTCACCAGAACCAGGGAAGTCGTTGGGCTTAGACTCCATGGTTTTCGCCGCTGCTGAGGATCCGAGGAATAAAAGTTCCTGGATAATGTACAGTGAGGTGTCCTGGACGGAGCACAGGCATTAGAGTCAGACCTTCCTGAGTTTGAATCCCAATGTAGTCCTTATACAATTATTTACTTTTCTGCCAGATTTTCTCGTCTGTAAAATTGAATGAATAATACCAACCTCACAGGGGTGGTATGAAGAAAAGATTAAGTGAAATAATGTTAGTAAAGCACCCAAAAAAGGACCTGAAATACAAATAAGTATTCAAAAATATTTCTGCTTTTTTCTTTTATATCCCTGTTATTATAAAACACAGCTGGATGGTCAATGATTTCTCAAATTGTATTTATTTGTTCATCCATCCACATTCATTTATAACTATACTCCCTAAAAGAGATTTAAGCTGGTTTCTATAAATATTTGTAATACATGAATTTTGCATGCCTGGTCCAAACAAGGATCTCAATGAGGACTCATTGTTATCACTCCTACACCCCCGCCACCACTGCCCCCCCCTAAAAAAACAGCAATGCAATAAAAGCTGTTCAACAGAGATAGCAGACTATGGGTTTTGAGGCATGCCTCTCTGACACTCTGCCACAATTTGGGAATGGGTTTTAGGAAATAGATATTCTTTAGGTTTCCTTCCATAACTATTTGTTCTCAAAAGGTACTGGAAGGCAGTGGGTTAAAGGTTGTACCCTTTCATCCATCATTAGACATGGCTGGTTACTGTGTATTCA